ATTTGGACCGCCACTCCAGCCAATAGAAGGGTAAGTGCGAAGACCCGGACACCCGGGGACATCCACAAATGCTACATTCACATGCACTCATACGTCAAAGCCAAACAAAACTTGTAAAAACAAAGAAGAAAAAAGTTCTTTATTTCAAAGAAAAACACTTCGGCTGTTAGACAGCCGCCCGACAACCAGCCCACACCCCAATTCTCGCCGTCCCCGGCGAGCATTTCCCTCTGTTTTCCACCTCTCCTCATTTCAGTTCATCCCGGCCCCGTGACACACGTCCCTTCCTAACTATGGTACAATCACCGTTCCCAGGACTAAGACTCTTGGCGCCTCTTCCTATGACCGTCTTTGTCTCCTTCTCCTCTTCTCGAGCCTCTCTCTCTTCCGTTTCCTCTCTCTTCTCTCTCGTTTGATTTTCAAGGCTCTCCTCGAGGCACTCCTTCTCTCTCTCAGCTTGCGCTTCCCTAACCGATCGGCGGCCTCTTCATCCTCTCAAGGTCTTTTCTTCTTCACAGAGGTCTTTGGTAGGGAAGGGTTCCGAACCTTATACCGCTTCCTAGGTGGGCGAGACGAGGTCCCTTGTTTGGAGGTCTCCCCTTTTTCATGCGTGATGGTCAACTCCGCGCCGAGCGCTTCTTTCCCTTTTCGTTTTGGCCCCTCCCCAAGGGTCCCTCTCGATCGGAAGATCTTGAGACGAGACCCTGCGATAGGGTCCCTCAGCCTACTCCCATCTAACTCCGCGAGCATATAGGCCCCCCCGTCCAATCTTTTTAGGACCTTATATGGTCCCATCCATCGGTTTGCCAATTTCCGGCTCCAGGTTTTTTCTAGTGACGAATCGTACGTCAGCACTAGATCGTTCACTTCTATTGGCGCTTTTCAGACCTGCAGATTTTTGTCCCATCTATCTTTCCCTTTCACCGTCTCTCTCTCGATGTTCTCACTGGCCGTGGCTACCCCGACATCCAAGTTCTCGGCTATTTGCTGTATCCGTGCTTTCAATAACTCACCCCTAGACATGTTGGTTTTCCATGAGACACTCGTCCAAGTGTCAATGTGGAACTCTATGGGTAAGGGACCATGCCTGCCGAACCAAAGGGTGTAAGGAGGGTACCCAGTACTTGATTTGACCGTGATGTTGTCCGCCCAAACTGCGTACCGTAAATACTTGGGCCATTGTTCCGTGCGACCCCTACACCATTTCGCTAGGGCGTCCACAAGTGTCTGGTGTCCCCTCTCTACCGGCGCATTGCTTTGGGGGTGATAAGCGGTAGTATAGGCCACCCCGATCCCTGCCTTTTCTAATAACATCTTGAACTTTTGGCTCAAGAATTCCGCCCCCCTATCCATAACTATCCTCCCGACACACCCATACCGCGCGATATACTCTAGGAGAAAATCACTTACCTCCTCCGCCTTTTTTTTTTTAATGGCCTTTGCTTCTACGAATCCGGTGAGGTCATCCCGGGCGTTGATTATGTACCTAAGACCGCTGACCCCTTTTGGCATGGTCACTAAGTCGATATGGACCTTCTTGCTTGGGACCGTGGGAAGCGACGAAACTAAGCGTTCTTTGTATCGAACCGTCCCCCTTTTCTGGCAAGCCTCACAGGTAGAACAGTACTTTTCCACTTCGGCGTACTACCCGTCCCACCAATAAAGCATGCGGACCTTATCGAAAGTACTCTTCACCCCTCTATGACCCCCAACGACCCCATCGTGTAACTCCTCTATGACCGCCCTTCTCTCCTCCGGGTCGCACAGCACCCTCATGGATATTGCGAATTTGGTGGGTCTTTTGAACAGGTGGCCTCCCCGCAGGCAATATCCCAGCGCCTCTTGCTGGATCTTTTCAGTCCCTGTTTCCCTACCGGCCAAGTACAGCCCTATGTCTCGGTACTTCCCGTCGTAGAGATTTGCAAGAAAGGTCCTTGGGCCCCCTTCTTCCCCTCGGCTGCCCCGAGCTATTTGCGCTCTACTTGCGGCGACTTTCATTATCGTCTCTTCAGTCATTGCCTCTTCTTCCTTCTTAAGCCTAGGCAGGTACTCTTCTCGAATGGGAAGCCGGGGCAATCCATCGATGGCATGGTTTTTGGTCCCCGATATCCTCTCGACCCTATAGTCATAAAGCCTGATATGGATCATCCAGCCAGCGATGGTCGTATCTGTCAGTGAGAAATCCTTTTGGAGAACCGCGGCCACCGCCGTCGGGTCCACCCTTAGGAGAAATTGTCGTCCGTACAGGTAGTGACGGAAGACTTTCAGGCAATGCAGTACCCCCAACACTTCCTTCTTGAATTGGCTATAATTTCTCTCTGCGGAGTTCAAGGTATGGCTCTCGAATTGCAAAGGTCTCTCTCTCCCTTCCCCATCCTTTTGTGACAGGAGACCCCCCACCGAGTGAGGTCCAGCGTCCGTGGATACTATAAACGGATGACTCTCTTCGTCTTCAAGAAACGGGACCCCTAGGACTTCTCCACCTTCGCGGAACTCCCCCTTCAAGGCTTCCATGACCGTTGTTTGTTCTTCTCCCCAAACCCATCCTTCCGATTTTCAGAGGAGTCTTCTAAGGGGTTCCGCCTTCTCTCCATAGGCCTTTATGAAGATTCGCCAGTAGCCCACAACCCCTAGAAACTGTCGGAGCTCCGTTATGGATTTGAGCGGCGATGGCCAAGTCATCAACTTTACTAGTTTCTCGGGATCGGGCCTCCGCCCCTCTTTATCGCAAATGAACCCTAATATCTTGATGGAGGATACGCCCCAACGACTCTTAGTCCCGCTTACCGTGAGGTTCACGTCGTCTAGTTTCACAAGGACGTCTCTGACATCTTTCATATGGTCGGCCACAAACTTTCTAACCCCCGGGAAAACCTCGGTCTCATCCTGCTCGACCGGCCCTTTTATCAAAAAATCATCCAGGAAGACCTCTACCTTCTCCGGTATGAATTCCTTGAGGACCGCGATCATGGCCCTTTGGAACACAGCTACCCCATTCGTCCAACCCATCGGTACCACCATCATTTGAACCATCCCTAAGGGTGTATGCATGGCGGTCATGTGCCTGTCCCGGTAATCTAAGGGAATCTCATCGTACCCTAAGAAGAGATCGCAAATAGAGTATATTGAGCGACCCGCTGACCCTTCTGCTAGCAAATCGGCCTCAGGTATAGACCCCACATCTCTTATGGTGACTGCATTGGTCCTCTGGAGGTTCTGGATCCATCTCAGTTTGTTGCTACCTCCCTTCCTTAGAAAGAACCACTTATTGGAGTAGGCACTCTCGCAAGGTTCCGCGACGAATATCCTGATCTTTTCCTTGATGAAGGCCACTATCTCTTCTGTCTCATTTTGAGCATACTTCCATTGAGGCCTATCCTTCCAAGGGACGTGGGGGACCGTGTGGATCCGGGCTGGCTCAGCATACCTTGGGTCGATTCTCCCTCTCTCCGAGTCATCAAAGGCAATGGCCTTATCGCAGCCCCTTAAGGTCATTGCTATGAACTCTTTTTCTTTCTCTGTGAGATTCCAATCTCCTATATTCATTTTCGCCAGTCTATCGGTCGTTATCTTTTGCCCCTCCGTCTCTTTCCTCTTCCTGATGATATCGGCTATTTCCTCTTCCGATATCGTAGCTTCCCCCGTTCTATCCCGACTGACCGCGGCGGGTTTCACTTTCTTCGCCACGGTTTTGTGCTTCTTAACTCCGCCGGCTAAGGGGATCCTTCCAAAAAAGACAAATTGACGCACCCACCGAACTCCTCTTCCTCGTCCTCCTTCTCGTACCCCATGTCGTTAATCACTATCCTATCCCCCACGTCTTCGATCTCCATTTGGTCCTCCTTGGGTCCTCTATCCGTCAAGGGCACTTCCTCTAGACGGACTCGACACACCCTCGACTGGGCCCCCTTGCGCCTAGTAAGGCTGGTCCGGTTACGTTCATCTTGCGCGTCCACGGTCTTCAGGACCACTATGATTCCATCAGGACTTTGAATTGAGAGAGTTTGACTCTCATCCGGCAAATCAAGTGTGGTCGCATGTACCGCGCTTAGCCAAGTCCTCCCGAGGATTAATTCGGAGGAACACTCTTTCACCGAAAAGATCGGTACCGTGGCCTCCACACCAGCTACCTCAATTACGGGGCTATGACACACCCCTTCTGCCGGTTGCAGCTTGTTATCTGCCACCACCATCGACATTGACACCCCTCGGTCTATCTCCAGACCTAGCTCTCGCGCGATGGAGTCCCTACATACCGTAGACTCGGACCCATTGTCCACTAAAGCCCTCATCTTTTTCCCACTTACCACCGCCTGGAGTTGGCCACTCCCTAGCACGTAGAACTTCTTGGCCTCTTCCCCCGAGAAGAAATTGGCCGACAGCTCCTCCATGGTAATGCGGGTGGCCTGCACTTCTTCCTTGGCGGGACCTTCTACTTGCATCGTTGACGCTACCGCTAGCTGGACCCTTACCTTCCTCGTGATGGTTAGGAGCTCCTCTCTGACACTTTTGTTTGTGGCCAGATACTCTAAAAGGGTGCACTGCATGGGCTGCATCATCGTTCGCCTAAGGGGTGCTACCGTGTCTATCTCATCCAGGGTGCACTTCACTTCGAACTTTTCGGGGCCCCTCTTCTTGGGTGATTTTGGCGAAGTGGGTTTTTTTTATCTTCTCCTCCACTGCTTTCGCGTCGGTCATGGGCTGGTCATTGTCGCCGCTTTTCACCTCTGTAGTTTCCGACACGCTCGCTTGGTTCTCAGATGTCTCAGCCCCGACCTGCATCCTCACCCTTAGGCAAGGCCTCTCTTCCTCGGCCCGGGTATCTATGAACTTGATGTTGGATATTTGGGGTTCTCTAATGGACAATCTTCCCGATGACTCCACCATTTGGATGTGAGATGCGCTGGAGGTACCTTTGTCCTCCGGCTTCTTCCCTATCCTAGCATCTTGAAGGGCCACCCTCTTATCCACGTTCACCTTCATCGATGGATAGAAGGAGACCGCCTCTCCGCTATCTCCCCACACAACCCACTTGTTTTCATTTAACTTGACCACTCCCAATCTCAACGCCTCCGTGAGATAAGGGCAGACCCTTTTGCTGTGGTTTTCTTCGTTGCAGTAGACACACCTGGCCCGAGCTTGGGGATTGTTGGGACGCGGACCCCCTTGTGTTGTCGCCGCTATGGGCGCAGGCGGAGCCGGTGGCTGCGGTGCCGGAGGTGGTAATGCTCTAGACTCCGGTGGCGACTCAAGGGCCCAAGTTTGAGGGGCATCTCCCCACCTTCCATCCCTAGCATCCTTCCAATGGGAGTTCCCCCAATCGGAACTACGACTCCCCCCTATTTCCCTGTCGTTCCTCCAACCTCCTTGGCCAATTGATTTGTCCCTCCATCCGGTAGGCCGGTCTCCCCACCAGGGACCAGGCGGGACCGGTGGTGGTCTATCGCTCCCGCTTGGACCATCGTTCCGTGTCCCTCGCATGTTGCGGAGAGCCATGTTCAAGGTTTCTTTCATGTACTCTCTTACGTTTACCCCTCCCCCTGTGAAAACCACTTCGGCTACTTTCTCGAAATTTGCAGAATCCCTCGGGGTCTTTTCAAGGACCTCCTTCTTTTTTTCTTCAGGAAGGTGTAGCATGAACATTACGCACCTGTCTACCTCGGATAACATGCCCCTATCCACTAGGGTTTGGGATAAGCGTTTGAACCTTCGGGGAAAGGCTACCAAGCTTTCCCTTTCCCCCCTTGAAATCCGTCGCAAGCCCTCTACGGTCGGGATTAAGTCATCACTGGCAAAAGTCTGCAATAGGCTTGCCTTGAAGGACCTCCATCGACCATCCGAGGGGTAGATAGCCCGGATCGCGGTGTCCAATTCGGGGTCCGAGTGCTGGATAAAATAGTCGATCCACTCCCTTTCGGAGAATCTCTTGCGGTACGCGTAACTTTCTCATTTCTCCACGAACCCAGTTACATCTCGCCCATCGAAAAAAAGCGCCTCCAGACCCAGGTTGACGTCATAATAGGGCACCCATCGGTCGTCATATCGGCGAACGTAGGGACCTTCCATAGGTCCACCAGTTGCCGGATCGTACGGCCTGTACCATGAGGGATCGGGCTCCTCTACCCAGCCTCGGGGTCTTGATGGCTCCTAAGGGTCTTCCCTGTAGCGACCCCGCTCATCCGGCCAATCTGCTTCCCACCGGGCGTGGTCCTGCCCTCTAAAACTCCTCCGGGGCTCCATCCCTTGACTCCTGCCCGTTATCTCGCCAGGTGTCCAAGCTGCATCTGCCTCCCTCACGGCCCATCTATGCGACCTACTTCCAGCCTCCCTCGGCCTCTCTTCTTTAAAACCCCTTCTACTTGGCCCCCCTTCCTCCTCTCTTTGGAGTGGTCGGTACCCTCCCCTATCTCTTGGAAATTCCAAGGATTCTCCTATTCTTATTCTACAGGGAGGCCTCTCGACCCCTCGATCATCCCTTCCCACGCAGGCATTCGCCTTTCCGTGCCAGATCTTGATCCCACTAAGGCCTGCCTTTCACTGGCAACGCCCTCCGGAATCCTATCGGCCCATCTCCGCGGCCGGCCGTCGGCCTCTGCTGACCCCCTCTCGCAGGTCTCTCCCGCCCCGGCATACTTCTTCCTCTCCCCTAAGCGGTTGATATCCTTCTCTATCTCTAGAGAATTCCCGTTCTTCCTCTAATCGGGCTTCCGCATCCATCAGGTCAGCCCACCAGGACTCCCCTGGGACGCCTCTCGCAGTTTCGGCTACCCTTTCGTTTACCGACACCCATGGCCCCACATCTCTGTGCACTCGCAATTCCGTGCCGGCCCTTTGCCCCTCCGAAGCTAGTTTCTCCCCCGAAGCCATTTTCGGGACCCCTTCGGCCCTATCAAGCGTCTCCTTCCCCTCAGTCATTTCTTCCACTACCTTGCTTAGACTGGCCCCCAATTCGGGGCTCTTCACTATCCCCCTTCGTTCAGTGGTTTCCGGCGGACCAGGGAGACCAGCCCCCGGTTCACTCTCCATGCACCCTTACCCGCTACTTTTAGTCGCCTCCCTCACTACCGTCTGTGCCACTATCCGACTCGCCCTCTTCACCACTGTCTCTGTTACTTCCCGAGCTCTTCTCCTCCTCTGTTCCCCCCTCCTCCTCACTAGAATCCTCGTCCCCACCTTCTCCCTCCGACTCCTCACTGGTTACCGTCCACCAAGAATCCCTCAGTTTTTTCTCCTCACTGGCGGCAAATGCAAGGTTAGCAACCTCTAGGTCCGAGATGCCTCTAACCCCCTCTTGCGCACACCTCCTAATCAAATCCCTGTCCATATTACCCGGTTGCCCGGAGAATAGAGGCTTGATGAACTCCCCAACGCGTGCCCACCACTCGAAATCGGTGTCCTCCCTTGACTCCCAGCACTGGGTAAATAACTCGTGTCCCCCTTCCTCGCCCAGCGGGAATTTTTCTATCACTTGACTCCTCAATCGGACTTTCATTGCGGTCTCGTCATCCTTATAGAGTAGTCGATAGAACCAGGTAGGGATATTCCAAGTCCTTCCATGGCCTGCTCTCGGAACCTCTTCCCTCCCTCGATATTCTACCTTATCTAATACGGGTCCCCCGGTGCCAACCCTTCTCAACCTCTGTACTCGTTCTAGGGTTTTTTCGGCGATGCCTAGAGGGTCCTTTCCTTCCGCTAATTCAGTTGCGAAGGTTAGCTGGGCGTCAGGGGACAAAAAGATTTCCGCTTTTCTAGTGCAGCCGTTCTCGTCGAAGGCCACTGAGAACCTGACGACCGTCTCCTGCTCGTAAATCTCAAAGAACTCGGTAATCACATAGCCTTCTCCTCTAACCCTAGGAAGAGTCACTCCATATTTCCCTCCCCACGTAAAAACCCTCTCTATGATGCCGTAAGGGTTCCCCCTTTCGTATCTAATCATAGGGGTTCTCACCTCACACCCGCTAACCGCTCGGCGGCTTCGACCAAGGAGTCTTCGCACCTAGCTCGACCTGCCCCCCTATCCCCCCTCAGGGTCTGGCGCAAAGCCTCTTTGTATTCGCTCGTCCTATCCCAAAACCGAGTTTCCACAAGGTGTCTCTTAGACGTCAGTGCCGTTCCTAGACACCTTGAGTCCTCCTCGAACTTTCTCTCTACTTTCAGCAAAGGCTCCCTCCAAGTCCTCGAGAATCTCACGCCACTGGCATCTCTAATGCGAACCGAAAAGCTAGCTACTGTGGTCCAGTTCCTTCTCTTCCACAAAGCCAGCCTCCGGACTTCCACTAGAAACTCCGTCTCGGCGCGGACTATCCGGTCCTCCCCCAATTCCGGGTTAAGCTCGGCACCTCCCTCGACCCTAACCTCGCTCCCGTCTTCGTAGGTCTCTAGTTCCCAGCGAATCCTGTTTGAGACGAAAAAGGCTTTCATCCCGTTACCCCAAGAGAAGGTCTATCGTGACCTCGTCGAGGATCGCGATCGTGGCCGTTTCTAGTAGCTTGATTCTTGCCAAGGACCCTGGCCTAGCCCTCCTTTCTTCCTCCCAGCACAGAGCAAGGATCCGCTGAACTTCGTCCCTCACTCTATCCAACCCCACGAGCCCCTCAAGGTCCGGCTTGGTCATCCCCTAATTTCCGTCGACGACAGGCTATAGCTACCCGAACCAAGTCAGAGGGGTCTAATCCCGCTAGCTCTCCCTCAAAGATCTTGCCTAAATATCTCCACGATATCTTAGATTCTCTTGCGTGTCGACCCCACCCTTCAAAAGCGTAACCCAGGTCCTGTAGGGTCGACCAATCGTCCCTACAGAGGTCCCGAAAACACCAAGTTAGCAAGGTGTGTAGGTCTGATCCCGTGAACCTGAACTGACTTAGGATGGAAACCCTTCTTCCTACCGCCTTCTTAACAGCCTCTGAGGGGTAAACCCGCTCAAAAATGAATCGGGGAACCTCCACAAGCTCGCTGGAGAGGAACCGCGGTATCTCTTCCCAACCCCCGTAGGTCACTAGATATTCCTCTTCGCACCCCTCGTGAGGTCCCAACCCCTCCACTAACTCCCCTAGCCGGCCCCTTACGGCTTCAGCGTCCCAGAGAGGGTCCTTCCCAGTCCATAGGCTACGAGCTATCTCCACAAAGCCATCCTTCGAGAGGAATATCCTGGCTTCTCCAACCACGATCGGTCCCTGGCAACTCACCACGAAGCGTACAAACGCCTTCCCTCGTGGGGTCCCCACCTCCTCTCGTAGGAGAGTCCTAGCTGGTTCGGCCAGCCGGGCCCTAGGCAGAGTGATTCTAATAACCTCTCCGGTATCCTTTACGGGCTCTATGGACGCCCAGAGAGTCCTCGGAATCCCTCTAATCATCGGCCCTCAAAACCCGTCCGGTTTGCTACCTGCTCCTCTCCGAAGAAGCAAGCGTACGGGACGTCCGCGACGAGGGATCGGAGTCCCTCAAACTCCCTCAATCTTCCAAATATGGTGGGTAGTTCACTCCTTGGGGGAATCCCCGCGTCCACGCACTGCGTATAAAGCCAAAACAACCCCCTAGCCCGTACCCCGGATTCTCGAGCAGCCCTAAGCACCGTTACTACTTTCTCTTACGGGTCCCTTAGGAACGAGCTGGCCACGAAGTGGGGCAAGTTAGCGTGAAGGACCCCGGAAGCGCGAGGGACCTCCCCGGGCTCGGTGAAGGAAACTAGGGACCACGACTCGAAAGTCCCCTCCTCGTAATCTGTTAACACCAGGTTGTTCGCCAACAGCCTGGCAGACGCTCGGTACTCAAAGTGCGTAAGCCGCCCGGTCACTAAACCCCTCCAGACCTCGGTCCACCTCTCTTCGTTGAAAAAAATGGTGGCTCGGATTTCTAGGAAGCGACCGATGTCGGGCGGGCCCCCTCTCTCCACACCCTCTTTCCAAGTGAGCTTTCGCGCTCGAACCCATACGTAGGCCCCTTCTCTGATTAATCCCCCCTTCTCAACACTCATCCAATAAGGAGTCACCTGAGGATCTCCTGGGATCAAGACCTTCTCGGGATCACTGGCCTCTATTGATTCTACCACCCCTTCTTCACTAAGGACAAACTTCACCCTCGGCTTTCGGCGCCCTAAAGACCGACCTATGATAATCTTCCTGAGAGGAAGTGTAGGTCTTCTCTAAAGAATCCAGTCTATGGAAAATTTCCCAGAGTCTCCTGCGCGGCGGAATACCTTGATCGATGCAGTGTGTATAGAGTATCCACAGGGACCAGAAGGTAAGGTCCAAACCCCTACCTCTCTCTAGAAGACGCATTATCCTTTCCTCGTTTGCCCTAGGGAACAAGTAAGATGGCACCCTTAGAGTCAAGGGGTATCTTGACCTTGGAAACTCTTCCTTCCTCGCGAACCTCTCCTTTTCCACGGGTACAAATGCAAATCGCTCTCTAACGCTGCCTATCCATTCTCCTCTTACCTCTCTTGCTTCCGCAACAGTCTTTCCAGCCCACCCCCTTGTCCCAGAACTAGGGGTACAACAAGTTTTGCCCAGGCTTCCGGTGCTACGTAAACAACCGCGGTCACCTCAAGGCTCCGTCCAACACTTTGGCCTTCTACTTCCTTGGACTCTACCCACACAAATTCCCCACTGACCGTGGACTGACCCTCTTCTACCCTTTCCTAATCAGGGACTTCCCCGTTGCTAGGGATCAGCCTAAGGGCCTCACTATCTTCTAATGGGGACTCTAAAAAGCACCCCCGCTTTTTATCACGGAACACCATTCATCTAAAAGACCCTTTGTGGCACCCCGAAGACCCTTTGGTAACCGTAGTCTCTTCCTCCCTCGTGGTCTCGGGTGGACTCCCTAAAGGATCCCGGCACGGATCCTACAAGCCTTGATCCCGTATGGCACCGGGTTATCTACGCAGTAGGAGTAGTACCAATGGAGTGACCTAACAGAGAGCTGCCAACGTCTTTCCCGCACTATGGATTGCACTACCCTATCGTATCGTTCCTCCTTCCCGCTCACCCTTCGGAAAACAAATGATGGGAATATGGCCCTGACGCACCCTGTGGCACGAGGGTACTCTCCGTCCCGGGCACAGGTCACCCTCACCTCGACGGGTGGGCAGTGTCTAAGGGGGTCAGCCTCAAAGATCTGCCTCAAAAYCGGTCCTGCTCGGGCTTCCCAATGATCCGCACGGTACCACCCCRGGACCAAATGAGTRACGTACTYGACCCAAGCTTCCCTACTCAAGTAGACTGTTCCTTCCRCACRGATCACTGTTCGCCTGGGTCTCTTCCCGTTCTGGGGCCTGTTCCGGGACCACTTGTCCCCCTCCCAAGTTCCCACTGCGAAACGAGCCCAGAGGAAAACCCCTCTCTCTAGCTCTACCCCTCTCTCGCGACCGGCTAGATACCGCTCCGTGCMGTGGTCTAAAGGGAMGCTGAAGCACTCTCGGTCTTTGCTTAAATCAACTTTCTCAATCCGAACCCTTTCTTCTTCAGTACCCTCTATGATTCTAACCATCCCCTAGGACTATCTCCTCTATGATTTGAACTAGCGCTCTCCACTCATCCGACCCGTCCAGGAAGGCGTCCGGAATAGTGGGGACTGGCCTACCCCCTCGCGGATACGTCCGGCACCCCAACGAGTAGAAATAGTTAATTTCGTAAGCCCCTAGCAGCTGCCTCTCAAGCTGCGCGTGAACGATCGCCTCCTCCCAGCTATCCAAATATCCCGCCGCTCTATCTACCCCCTCTTCCACGTACAAGGATATGTCGAAGTGCTCGGTCCACCTGTAAAAGGTATAGCACCAAACATCTACTCCGCCTATATCACCCACACTAATCCCTGCAGGCTCAAACTATAAAGGCCTCGAGCTCATGGATCCGCCGTTCTCACTATATGCTTCACTATCCCTACTAGTACTTTCCACCCATCCGACCCATCAAGATAAGCGTCCGGAATTACCGGCGCCGGGCGACCACCTCTCGGGTAGGTACGATATCCTAGAGAGTAGAAATACTTGAATCCGTAACCCCTTAACCTCTTCCCACCCGCGAAGGAAGTCCTCTCCTTGATCTTGCCCCTCCTCCACATAAACACCTACGTCAAAGTCCCTTGTCCATAGTCTAAAGGAATAACACCACACATCAACACTTCCGTGGGTACACACACTAATCCGTTCGGGAGTGGCTTCTAGGCTCATACAGTATAATCAAAGGAAACTTCCCTAAATTCTCACTTCCTATTGGCCACTCGAGAGACCACCTCTATCCCGAGAGGAAGAGAAGCCTGTGAGCTCAGAAGGATCAAATGTACCAGAGAAGGAACGTCGTCTCACTCGGCTACCTTCCTGTCCTCCCCCGCTGAGAGACTCCTCCCCACTCCCAGCCTAGAGACTAGCCGTAGACACAGGTTATCCCCGAGGAAGGGTGGCAACCCCCTCCCCGGAGTTGGACCGAAGTCACACACCCGCACCCTACGTACCCCACTGAACCGACCTCTAGTCCTAATTAGCCTATCCGGTACCACGCCTCTACTCGGCCCACCTCAAGCGTGGAATTACCCGGGTCCCAGGACAAGATCCCCCTATGTATCGGAAATCGCTAGCCTATCTATTCACTCACCATTCTTCTCATCGTGAACTCTTCTCACTTCGTTCCCTTCTCCCTTTTTCGCCTCCTGCTGCCTCTTTTCTCTCTTGGAATCACCGGAAGATCGGGGAATGTAAAAAAAGGGTGGGAAGAGCGGAGCTTTTAGGAAGAGGCTCTCAGGTGGGGTTGATAAACATACGTACCTTGGGTCTTCAATACTCGTTATCGTAATCCCAATAATCCCCCAGTTCCGAGTCCAAGAAGTTGGCTAGACACCGGTCCACCAGGAGCCGGCCTCCGATCCCTCGCCCAAGGTCCCCCAAGTATCCCCTTCTTCTTGAATGCCCTCGTTATGAAGGTCAAGAATCTCCCTCTCTTTCCATCGCTCTGGTACCCGTAGCACCACACTCTTCTCCCCCAAGCCCCGAACCGGTCCCGATTGAGAGTCTCGCTCCCTCGCGGGAGTTGCAACCGTCGTCAGTCCCCGTGGATCGAGGATCGAGACCCCTAACCCCTCTCTAGACACAATTTCTCTTGCGGGACTTCGCCCCTGGGTAGGTGCCCTCCACAACCCGTGCGGATCAAGAACACTTGGTAACCCCCTCGGATCCCAGATAGACAGCGCTACTGACCCCTCTTAGACCCCTCTCCCCGCTCCCTCTCTTTCTCTCTCTCTCTCCCCCCCTTGAGCAGATCCCCTTATACTATTCCCCCGGACTGTTCTTCTCCCTCCCCTTTCGTTGTTCTTCACCCTCATTCAGACCCCTCAAGCAAACTGTTCTCCCCCTTTGTTTTTCAAGTTTTTAGAAATAAACACGCGCAAAAACCAAGCATACGAAAAAGAACTAACCTGCTTTTACCCTTCGAAGGCCGGAAGTGGGCGCCGAGATCGCAAGCGGGCCGGAGCGGACCTGCAAAAGGAACCAAGGAGACAAACCCCGACACCCGGAAACCCCTTGCCCCCGACAAACCCCAACAGCAAGCCCCTCCCCAATAAACCCTTTGCAGACGTCGCTTGAGAAGAGAC